TAGGGGAAGGTAGCCTCACGCTTAGAAAGGAGAGCCTTCTTCTCCTTGACCTCCTTCATTAGCTCACGGATGTGCTCCTCCTTTCGCTTCACTTCTTCCTCTCGCTTCTTCACCAGCTCCACAGCCTTCAACGTCCTAGACTGGCACTCCGCTGCTTTCGACTCGGCAGCCAAAACCATGGCCTCTAAGACCTTTGCCTTTGACTACGAGACTTGTAGCATTAGCAGCTCCATCTGGTAGTCAGGCTGCTCCACCAATGATTGAATCATTGAGTTCATCTGCAAAAGAGTTGTACTAGTCAGTAAGGCAAGAAAAACACAAAGAACAAAGAAGTGAAGTTAGAAACATACCACCACCAAAACTGACTTCTTCGACACCTTGGTAGGAAAGATGGCTTCTTTGCTCTTGAGAGTGGCAACCCGGGCATTAAAAATGCTTTGGCCCTCCTCGGTAATTGCACTAGAAGCGGCGACCTCGGGTTGGATGGGCTTGGGCTCGAACTCTTGGGTCACCTCAGGCTTACGAGCTGGTGACCTGGTTCCCTAGTCATCCTCGACCAGGTCGATGACGGGCACATCCTCTTTCCTCCTAGGGGTAGTAGGTGCAGTAGGACTAGCGATGGGCTTGGCGGCTTGGGGTTCAATGCGAGATACCTTCCTCTTTTTCCCCTTCTTCATATCGAAGAAAAGCTTGGAGACAGGGATATCCACCATGGTACCTGCAACACATATACGAACTCAGCGAGGAAGTTGGTGAGAAAGGAAAAAGTCTAAGTGTGTGAAACCGAAGTGGAGACCTACCCAGGCTCGGCCCTACATTAACTAACTTCTCCTCAGCTAGGAAGTCGTCCAATTCCAACCTGAGCTTCGCCCAAGCACTGACCTGTTTCTTCATGTCCTTATCTAACTTGACGCTGAGGTCACTGATGGTCGTTCTCCAGTGCGTCGGAAACGGCCATCCCCAGCCACAGTGACGATAAAATAGCGCCTCAAGGCTGGGACTTTGTTGGGGAGACCATACAGGATCTTGTACCCAGGTTGGGGGGTCAGGTAGTAAGTACGGTGTTTAGAAGAAGGAAGACTGGTAGAGTTTTGAATAGAATAGATCGAGCTAAAGGTGTCCATGGTCAAAGGTTTGTCGAAGTGGTGAAATAGGGAGATGGTACCTACTATAGAGCGAAGTGAGTTTGGGTGAAGCTCACCTATGGTTATGTTAAAAAATCGAAGAGTCCCCATGATGAACCCGTGGAGCAGGAAGCGCAGCCCGACTGTCAGGTGCTCCTCGAACACGACCTCGTTGGGATCATGGTCCCAAGGATATCCTTCCAAAGGGATACACCAGCCGTGGTCCTCAAGGAACTTATAGTGCTCGGCCAACATTTGCAGCCTCTCTGCAGTCATCACGGAAGGACCGAAGTAGTCTGACCCCAGCCTCTGAGAACTACGGGAGCTCGACGCTTCCTTCCCGGAGTCTTCCCGCTCCTTTGTTTGGGAATCCACCTCGGGCGGGCTGGGCTTGGAACCTTGTGCCGAGGTGCCCACTTGGGCAGGACCAGACTCTACTTCTTAGCCTGAGGAGTCCACCTCAGTCCCACTTGACTCGTTACTGGCATCCAACAGACTACCAATTCTGACACTTGACATCGCAATCAAAGGAAAACAAGTAGGAACGAAGGAGGCTTTCCTAAGCCGAAAAGGAGAAGATGACTTCGAAGAACAAGAACAGGTGACACTGACCTGGAAGTGGACACGAGCTTAGAACACGAACGCACAAATCACGGCGAAGAAAATGGGGACCCCATAGCTAGGGCTGTTCATAAGAAGGCCCAACCCGACCAAACTGACCAACCCGGACCGACCCAACCCGAGTCGGTCGGGTTTTCATCAGCATGGGTCGGTTTTGGGTTGTGCAAATTCCTAAACCGATGATTCGGGTCGGTTTCGGTTTTCACACAAGAAAATCGAAACCGACCCGAACCGAACCGACTTAGTTCCTAGTTCAAACATGAAGTTCCAAAGCCCATTAGGCCACCTAGTTTTTGAATGGTTGCAAGAAACTTTGGATTAGTGAATAGTGATTAATGAACAATTTTTGTGATTAACTTTTCATTTATATTTTATCATAGGAGATGAATGAAATGATGTTCAATTTATGACTGTTTTTAAAATTAGCAAGATTTTATCACAGGGATGAACTTAGAACCGAAACCGACCCAAACCGACCCAACCCGACTCAAACCGACCAGGTCGGTTTTGCTTAACACTGGGTTGGTTTTGGTTTCTATGTCAGGTAACCCGACTAGGTCGGGTCGGTTGGAAAAACTGCAGTAAACCGACCCAACCCGACCCATTAACAGCCCTACCCATAGCCCCTATTTATAGCTACTATAGTCGATTTTGGATGGGCAAGATCAATGTAATCCGACGGGCTCCCGTGAAAATTGGTTGCACTCCTCTCGAAGCCAAAATCAAATTGAGCACGCATTTTGACGTCTGTAGGGTTGATAATCCGCATGACGTCCGTACGTTCTTGGTACGCGATCTGGTTTCCTGGTTGAACCAGATGGGTCGCTAAGATCAAACCGCCAGATTGGCCGAAGCCAAATCCACCTCAGCTCGACATGAACTCCTTGCACCAGGTCGTGACCCATGCATGAGGAGTGGGGAGCAATTGATGAGAGGTAATTTAGTCCGACTTGATGAATAGAGGACATGTGGATGCGACCTGCCAGCCAGATGACGACTCAGCATTGGGTGCCACGTTAGCAGATCGGGGGACCTCGGGTGCCTGGCCACTTTGGGCAGCACTAGAGCCGGGGCACCTCGGTACCCATGCACGCCGAGGTGACACGTAACAGATTCTAGAAGCTCGCCTGCTGTATCCGAGTCTTCTGGGGTCAAATCATGGAACTATAGGCCTTATCCGCATCCCGCCCGAATCGGATGGACACCATAAGCACTATCAATTAGCACGATATCCACCTATTGGTGCAGAATGGACTCCTACTTGTTCAGCCCAAAGATCTCGGAAAGGCTTCATGAGGCCCACGGTAGCCCTGCTATATAAAGGTATCAGCCCCCAAGATTCAGGTAGGTGCGATAAAGTGCATTCTAGCTCTCTACTTTATTGATTTCCAGCTCACCTCTACTTACTGAATACTAATTTAAGCATCAGAGTGATCTCGTCAGATTAACCACCCTGAATTCTCTGACCCCTCTTTCTTGCAGTTCGGGTGACCCGCTAGGAGCATCCAGATCGTGCATGATTAGATCCTGCCCAAGTTGTATGGTCTTGAACTCATTAGAGTAAATTGACTAAGGTTTCTACCTGTACCATAATAACATGCTTTGACATATAAAATTGAGGCGACAAACTTGGTATGTTTCAATTTTGAATAAGATTCAAAATATAATTATATAGCCCATGGATTCAACAATGGGATATTTTGCTCTCACATTAGATATGATGCATAAGTACTCATTGATTAGTTTGCCACCTAATGGCAAAGGATGCTAAACCTTAGTTGCTCCTGTAAAATGAGTAAGCAGGTGCCTGTACACATCTGGCAGATATGCTATTCTAAAGGTTCATAACCAGCTTTATGCCCAACTTATGAGTTCTTAAGTCATGGTTACGATAACCTAATGGATATTTCCATTTGAACAGTTAATGCAGAAGTTCAGGTTTCTTTTCTGAATTCATTGTGAAGTTCTCTTGAGGTGGAGCTAAATTTGTTGTTTGTGCTATACATGCACATAATATATATTTCCTTGTAATGCACCTGACCAAAATGGTTTCTATCTGCTTCTTCAGGTCAAGATAAAGTGCTTGTGTGAGTCAGGACGTGTCATTGGTTGCAAGCTTACTCTGTTTTAATTTGAGTCCAGATGAGAGCAGGTTATGTGTGTTTTTCAGTTTTACAACACCCTATGTGCAGAGTCTCATCTTTATTGAAAGGAAATCCTTTCCTTCAACCAAGGATCTTGGCCCGTTTTTGGTCAGAGAAGTACCAAACTTATTACACACTTGAAAACAGTTGTAGTTTTTATGTGCATGGATCTAGCACCCATGAACCTTCTGCAAAGGAACAATATAGGGGAAGATGGAAGCAGTGACATATAAAAGTACGAAGTGAAAATACCCAGAGTAGTAAACTATATGAAATCAGGCACAAAGTGTTAGACAGAAAAGTTACAGAAACAACTAAGTTAAACATAAATAAGCCAAAGCTGATAGAATTTGAAAGAGTTCAATACTGTGACATTCAAGAAAAGATTTCAGATAGCAAAGTACTAGAGCAACTTGTCACATTTTTTTGTTTTTGATATTGAAACCCCTGGATTGAGCAGAGAGAACGAATGAATCATTGAGATTGCAATTCAGGATCCCCTAGGAGGTGAGAACAGTACATTCCAAACTCTAGTCAACCCAGAACGTGTTATCCTCAATTCCCATGTCCATGGCATCACAACAAGTATGGTTAACAGACCTGATTTTCCAAGGTATAGTATTTCATAATACTGCATTTTCATGCTTCTGTCATTGACTGATTACCAAGTATATCAAGTAATAATCATGGTTAACAGGCTCCCAAAGATATATCACTTTGGTACCTTTTTTGATAAATTATACCACTTTGTTGCATTGTTGAAGCAGCTATTCTCATCCTCTCTCATCTATCAAATAAAGGAGGTGGGAGCATGCCTGTGAGATAAAGGGATCACATGGGTCGTTGAAAGCTCATGGAAAGGAGGAGGAGAATAATTAATTACAACTAGCACTTCTAATTTGTAGAGAGACTTTTTTTTCTTCTAATGTATTCCCTTTTCTTTTTATTATTATTTTTTTATCATTTTTTATTAATCACGATTTATAATTTATCTATTTCTTATATTGCCTACTGCAGGGAAACTCCCTGCTTATCGGAGAGTTCATATCAGTTCTCGGCCAGATAATTCAGACGAAATAACCATCAACTGGACTAATGACATCATATTTGAAATTAGGAAGAGAAAACAGGGAAAGAAATATATATATCAGAAGGTCATCAATCACACTAATCATACATTGAGTCCCTAATCGGAGTTGGAAAGAAAAAAAAAATGAAGAGGTTGGGTAGGCGTTGAGAGTTTAGTAGTTTACGAGCTGATTCGACAGAACCAGCTCCATCCCTCTCCCTCAGGCCCTAGTCAGTTTGAGACAACAACTTAAATAGAGAGTCATAAATATAAAATGGAAGAAACGTAACAAAAAAAAAATGATGAAATATTGTAGAACGCACTTACCTGTTAGAATATTGGCTTGGAATCGATGGATGTTGTAGGGGAAGATTTGAGACGAGCTTTGATCTTGAATCACTCGCCCTTAATCTCTCTCTCTCTCTCTCCCTTTGAACTATTGCAGCCATTGGTGCTCTAGATGCAGCCTCTGCACGAGGTTTAGGATGGAACGATTTTAGATTGTATCCGGTGAGGAAGAAGAATTGAAGAAGATTCAATCAGTGGTCTTACCTCGCCGAAGGTTGGTTCAATCAGAGCATGCGGTTGATTTCGAAAGAAGAGGAGGAAGAGGAGGAGGAGGAGGAGGAGGAGGAGGTGGTGGTGGTGGAGGATAATGGTTCAGCAGTGGTCTTACCTCGCCGGAGGTTGGTTCAGCTCTCTGTTTGGCGATGGAAGAAGGCTTGGAGTTCTCGCAATCTCTGTTTCGTCTCTTCGATTGGATTGAAAAATGGGTAAATTTCTTATACTACCCTTATGGTTTAGCTAATTGATTAACTCTACCCTTACAGTTTGAAAATTGACCAAGTGTACCCTTACTGTTTCTGACAATTGACTAAGTATACCCCTAACTGTTAACCATGGACGAAAAAGCTAAAAATGCCCATTATACCCCTATACAAAATTACATTTTTATCCTTGATTTTAAATTAACCGAATCCCTCTCACACACTCGCCCTATCTATCGAAGGGAAGAGAAGACAAGAGCGTCATCCCGACGGCTCACCATCGCCATCTCCACCGACGGCGATCACTGCAACTAACAAACGGTGAAGGTTCGGCGGAAATCCGACGGAGGTTGGCGGTGGGTTTTTTATCCCTATTAACACCCCTTTTTGTTTAAACCCTCAACAAAACGGAGATGAGTTATTTTGTTTTTTACTGAAGTTTTTTTTTCATTGAAGGAATCTTTAGTGTCTAATTAGAATAGTGTTATTTTTTCGCTTTTGTAGTGAGTTCTACGGATGAATATTGAAACCTGTAGTTTCTCAGGTATGTACACATGCCTTGTTTGTGGTAGGGGACCATCTCTTTGTGATTTGTGTGTGTACAGCCATACTTTGAGATTCGTGGCCTATGTTCGCATTCATGTCGGTTCTTAAACCGAGTTAAATGGCGGTTTTGGGACTCATGTGTTTGCTATAGTGCAAACATTGGATCCACACATGTCTACTTCAGAAAGAAAGGTTTGTGTTGCCAATACAACTCCATGTGTTCGACTAAATGCCTACCGCCAAGAAAGGGTTGTGTTGCCAATACAACCCCATGTGTTCGACTAAATGCCTGAATAGCCTACAAAGGGTTGTGTTGCCAATACAACCCCAAGTGTTTGACTAAATGCCTGAACCGCCAAGAAAGGGTTGTGTTGCCAATACAACCCCATGTGTTTGACTAAATTCCTGAACAGTCTAGAAAGGGTTGTGTTGCCAATGAAATGAGGTTAATAATACGATCATCTTCCTGGAAGCACCAAAGGGGAAACAAAATAATCATGGATGCATAATATATACACATAGAGTTAATAATAAACAAATAAAAAGAGTGTGAACATATCCAGACCTCCTTTGTCCATGGTCCTTTAATGAGTTCAGGATTGAGAACCTTCTGTCATCCATGCAGACACTGCACATCTGACCGACCAGGCAACCATTCAGCTACAAGAGATCAGAAAGTTCATAAAATCATAAAAACAGTAGTAACTTCTGTACCACAAAGATGAAACAAATTAAGAAAAAGCAAAGAACATAAAAAATAAGAAAGAAATCAGAAGGAAGAAACTCCATAAGTGCTTATTTCTTTTGGACCTAATTTCCTCATATAGCTTTCATTTAACTATGAAACATGACTACCAAAAACATAATTCATGAATTCCCATTAATATACCTTGCATCTAACTGCTCACATTAATATCCAATAGGAAATCAAGAAGCTACTGAATTCCCATTAAAAAGGTCCTAGAGTAAATGTAGAAGATTAATAAATATGACTGGGCATTTTGGGCCTTTAGATGCTAAAGGCAAAAGAGTAAGGTATGATAAGAAACCAAGCCAAATTGTAGTCCAACTAATAGGTACTTGGAAGGCTAAATAAATCCAACTTTAACTTTCAAATATTAGCAGTACTATATATAAAACAATTAAACAGATTGATCTTTAGAGTCAAGTGTTATGAAACTCTTTGCAAATTAGTGAATAATTGACAAACCAGTTAATACATAGAAGTACACTGACCTATTTTCTTCCAATTTTTCCCATTGAATTTTTTGACTGCTTTTGTTAATAGGTCGTCATGTTTCATATTAACAGATAAGACAAAATGAAGTAATAGATGGTTAAAAATATTAGATTCATCCACTCACAAAATGGCTTCGAGTTGAGTGGTGTTCTAAATGGCCTATTTCATTCACTTTTTTATTGTTTATATTGTGTAGAATTAGCATTAGGTTAACCAACTTTAGTTGCAGCTTGTTTCATTGGCTAAAGTCTTGTTTCTATCATGTTTAGGAATGGAGGAAGAGAGATATATGTTTGTTGTCAACCATGGTGGCCAATGGAAGACAATTAATGGGAAGCTATCATATGCCGGTGGTAACGTGGGATATGTGGATAACATTGACAGTGACAGGATTTGTTACGTAGACATCATGGGGGACTTTTGTAGTTTGTGTCGGATACCTCCTGACAATACGGTAACCATTAACTACAAGGTACCTAATCATGAACCAGAGGAGCAATTGGGTTTGTTGGGCAGTGAGAGTGACATGTTGCAAATGTTTGTCGTGCATAGTTATATGCGTGAGATTATCTTATATGTCACTACTATAGATGCTAAATGTGTATCGGTTGATGACACGTGTGTTGAAAGAAGTGGACGGAGTAGTGACCATGGAAAAGGAAAGTATACAGTTGAAAGTGAGGGTGATTGTTGCATTATTGAATCTGTCCGATGATGATGCATCTGAGCATGAGTGTGGCCATGGAATGGAGGGTGCTGATGGTGAATTTGATGAAGATCAGAATTGTGGAGATGGGCTAGGTGGTCAAGATGATTGGCTGGAAGGTGGTATTGGTGACTGATTCAGAACAACTGGGTGGTTTTGGTGTACCATCAACCGGGCATGATGGTGTTGGTGTATCATCATCTAGGGAAGCAGTTGATTTGTCAGATTGAGAGCCATTGAGTGATAATGACAACCTGAAGAGAGGGGGAGTTGGTCCACCTGAGTGATAATCATCTAGGAAAGTAGTTCAGAGAAGCCTTAAGGCATTATTGTGTGGTAGAGGGTGTGGAGATCAAGAGAAAAAAGAATGAGAAGTCTAGATTCACTAGAATTTGTGCTGTTAATGAATGTATGTGAAGGATATATGCATCCCTCAGCCATGATGGGGGTAGTTTTATTGTCAAGACACTCTGTGACAAACATACTTGTTTGAGGGTGACAACAAACAAGGAAGCTACCAACATATGGCTATCCACAAAGATTGAGGGGCTATTAAGGGTTGACCCCGGTATGTCAGTACATGTACTCATTGCTGAAATCAGGTGGTTGTATGGAATAGAAGTTTCATGGAGGAAGACACATAGAGCCCGCCTAAAGGCCATTGATAGGATTAGAGGGTCTCTAGCCGAATCATACTCTTTGTTACCTAAGTACTGTACAACTTTATTGGCAAGTAACCCTAGGTCTATTGTCAAACTGCATGCTCCGCTAGCCACAGTAGATGACACATATGGCACATTCAAGAGAGTGTTCATTTGCCTTGCAGCCTGCAAAAATATATTCTTGGAGGGATGTAGAAAAATTGTTGGGTTGGATGGTTATCACATTAAGATTGGTGCAATTGGAGGGGTAATTCTATTGGTTGTAGGCCTAGATGGGAATAATGGTATATACCCCGTTGCATATTTTGTTGCGGAAGTCGAGAACAAAGAAAGTTGGTTGTGGTTCTTGACTGAGCTTCGGGAAGCATTGTGTATTGATGACTCACACGGGTGAACTTTTATGTTAGATAAGCAGAAGGTATGTATGTTATATTTGAGTTTATTTTTTTTCTTTGATTTATTATGTATACAACTATTATCTTTGAATTCATTTTTTCTTTATGTTTTGCTATGATTAACAATCCTATTAATTGGTGATGCAGGGTATAGTTGATGGGGTTGCGATTTGCATGCTCGGTGCAAATCATCGTTTTTGCATGTGGCATTTGTATAGCAATTTCAAGAAATTGTTCATGGGAAAAGCATTAAGGGATGCTCTGTGGGCTGCCGGAAAGTCATACACCCAAACTGACTTTGCTCACTGTATGGAAATTGTGAAGAGTTGTTTTAAAGAAGCATATGATTGGCTATGTAAGATCCCCCCTACAACATGGTCCAGGCATGGGTTTGACCCAATTGTTAAATCGGATGACATCACAAACAACTGGACTAAGTTATTCAATTCTTGGATTGGGGAGTCTTGGTCTTTGCCAATCGTAGAAATGCTAGAAGGAGTAAGAAAGAGGCTGATGCAAAAACTATTTGAGAGACACGAGGCTGTCAATGCACAGGCATCGGTGCTAATGCCAAGAGTGGAATCAATTATCAGCACAAGGGGGAGAGAGGCCAGGTGATAATTGGTTAAAAAGCATATTCATTTATATAGAATTTATCTTTTTCACTACTTGAGTCAATTGTACGTTGCTCACTCATGTTAACTGCACTTGCAGGTCAGTTAGGGTTTTCAGGTCTAGACATTATGAGTACCAAACAAGAGGGAATGATTTGGTAGATAATGTGACTAAGATGGATGCTAAGACCTGCACCTGTAGAGTATGGGACATCAGTGGTATCTCGTGCTATCATGCACTTGCGGTTTTAACATACACTCGGGGTATAGTGGAGGAGTTGTGTGATGTAGCCTTTCACAAGTCCACATATTCAAGAGTATATAGCCACCTTATACATGCACTACCTGGGCAGAAGTATTTGGCACCAGTTGACTACCATCCAGTCAGACCTCCAACAGTTAGGAGAAGGCCAGGTCGACCTCCAATTAGTAGGAGAAGGGAAGAAGATGAGGCAAGCCCATCCCACCATGGCCCACTAGAACGTAAGACAATAAGGTGCTCTATTTGTGGTGGAACTGGACACAATAGAAGGAATTGTCGTGCTTCTCCTCCTAGTGGCAACAATACCAATGTGCAGGTATCATTGTTTAAAAATTTGAACATGCTAATAGTTAGAATTTTCACTTTAATAATATTATTTAACTATTCCTTGTAGGTTGATGTGTCTGCTCCAGAACAAGCTCAAACAGGCTGGATGGTTAGAAGGAAACTCTCGTATATCATGAGGGGGGTTTAAGTACCCATCCAGTGCATGGCACCATGGGGATGGCTTCTTCATCTATGGCAACACCTATTCCACCAACATCTGAGGCTGGATCCTTAGCAGGAAGAGCATCTAGTGTTACAAGAGGGAGATCATTTTCTGTTCCGAGGAGGGGTAGCATCAGGAGTGGTGGCAGTGGAGTGTTTCAACATTCACATATTGGCCAATCAAGTAGTCAAGTAACATTACTAATGTTGTAGATTGTTATAGTATCTTTTAGCTATATCCAATTTCATTTCGATACTATAACATATGGACTTAGCAATATCACCTGAATTTTTATAGGTTGAAGGTTAGAGCAGCCAAGAATTGAGATACTCACAGTCATATTGAGTGACATTCAATATCATTGAATTTTTTGTATAGACCAACTAAATTTGATGGAACTTATATATATGATGGGACTGACTTCCAGAAAGGTTTCTAGATAGTGATATATATGATGGAAATATGTACAAATTCACAAGAACATCACACCTCCTAGTTTCTGCCCTCACCAGAACTCATTTGTTTTCAGTAGCAAAGGGCATAAATTCTATGTTAGTTCTACTTTTCATTTTGAAAATACAAGCTCACCCCTATGTTGTCTTTTAATTTCTCTTCAGATGTGGCATTTGATGTATTATAGTTGAAAACTTAAGGGTAGATTTCATCAATTTACCCCTTTTTTCCTGGATGTTGACTAATAGATACTTTACTGGTTATCATCTTTGGTGATATTGATAGAAAGTTATCTGGTATTTTGGTATTTTGAAATCTTGTCTGTTGGCCCCTCAGATCTATTAAAGCTATACAAGTTGTTCCCTTGCTAGTTGAGGGTGATTCAAAGAATGTGATTGGCTAGGAAGCAAACCTAGGACTGGGCCTTGGAGAGGCATAAGTTGTGGCCTCTCCCAAACGAATTACAAAAGAGGTAAATATCAAATTACAACTGGGCCCAAAACAAATGTTCCCTACTTGCCCCTTGCTTGGCTATCCCTTCAGCCAATGCCTTTACCGATCTCCCCACCCACTGTATTCTCACAGACATGTTACATGCCAACCATTTAAATTTCTTGATTCCATCATCCATGACATTTCCTCTTCTTTAAAATGGAGTTGTAGATGGATTCCAAGAGAATCAAACCAGTTGGCAGATAGTTTAGCTAAACCTGGATTGGTTTGGATTGGTAAGGAATTTTTTTAATAGTGTAAATGAACATTATATCTTTAATGTTCCAGGTGAGTGAGATAATGAACATTTTATCTTTAATGTTCCAGGTGAGTGAGATAATGAACATTATATCTTTAAAACTGAGAAGAAAATTGTTTTTGGAGTTTGAGAAATGGTTGAATCTTTTTGAATGGTGGCAATTGATGAATCATTATTCTTTTATGTTATTCTGAAATTAATTTAATTATTTATTCGACAGCTCATTGAGTACTAAACTAGTAGGATGCATGTTTATCTACACAACCCCTCATATTTCGTGTGTAGTTCATTCCTGCAAGGTTCCTAGCTATTTGGATTCTCTCACCATCACCATCTAGTTAGGGGGACTAATGGTTATGGAGGTGCACCCAAGAATTCAATTAATGCAATTCATTACTACCACACAGAGAGGAAAGGGAGGCTTCCCTTCATTCCACAGGTTCAAAGTTGAAAGTTGAAACCCTTGCTGCCTCCTCAAACACAGGGGTGATGGTGACTGAACTAGTTGGGTCATCACCATTCTTTGAACAGAGTGTAGAGGCATGCTTAATGCCGCTTCTATAATTGGTTATATATGATGAATTATAGCTAGATATTTTATTAAGAATGTATGTGCTCTGTCTATATAATTCTATTATCGGTTTTGAATATTGACTATTTCTTCCCCTTGATTTGAAAATCTTGAGACGAGAGGTATGCAAATTAAGTCACAACCAAGCAAAAATCAGATTAATTTCTTCCCCTTGATTTGAAAATCTTGAGACGAGAGGTATGCAAATTAAGTCACAACCAAGCCAAAATCAGACTATACATCTTTGATTCTCATATTTTTTATACGACCCAACAATTTATCACAAAATTTAGACATTCTATCGAATTTATCCTTCTCTAACTGGACAACTGCTTCAACCTCATCTAGTGGGTCTTTAGAAGGTCCTGCCACATCTCCTTTGATGGTTACACTCTGTTGGACTTGTGGTCTCCTTGGCATCCATGCAAAGAACTTACACCCACCTAGATCCTACAAAAAATAGTGTGCACATGTGACACCATAAAACGTTTAAATTTTTTTAAATCCAATATTACCCTCATCCCCTTCCTCTCGATGCACTGTCTCTCTCTCTCACCCTTTCTTCTTTCTTTCTTACAAGGTCTCTGTTCTTGCTTACGGAGAGAGAAAGTGAAAGAGGTGTGAGGATGATGTTGAATAGAGAGAGACCATTACAACACAATTCCGCAGCTCTAGGTTATATTTTCTGCCATGAACTCAATTGATGAAAAAAGCCAGAGTTATTATTTGATTTTGTAGAAAATGCTTCCGTAGCTCCAGATTTAACGGACCATTTAACCCAACAGAGTGAACCGAATTCGGTTCTCAATCAAATGTAAGACCATTACAACCATCAACCATTCACTCAGAGTTGTGGAGAGTGCATTGGGAAGAAATTCTAATAAGTCTTATGAAGCTTGGCATCAACCGAAATGACCTTTAAACAAAGGATTCTTCTTCTTCGTCTTCCTTGGCACGCAAGTACCTCTCGCCCCTGTTTTATCACCGTTGCTGCAGCAGCGGCAGATCCCTCCACATGGCCCCCTCTCTCTCTCCATCCGTCCCTTTCCCTCTCGCCCCTCTTTCTCATGCTGCCTGTAGCAGTTGTGGACCCCACCCTCTCTCTCTCTCTCCGTCCGTACCCTCTCCCTCTTGTTCCTATTTTATCACCGCCACTGCTGCAACCTGTAGCAGTGGTGGACCCCTCCACATGGCCCTCTCCCTCTCTCTCTTTCTCTTTCTCTCTCTCCATCTGTCCCCTCTCCTTCTCGCCCCTGTTTCATCACCACCGCTGCAACCTGTAGCAACGACAGACCCCTCCACACGGCCCTCTCTCTCTCTCTCTCTCTCTATATATATATATATATATATATATATATCTTTCTCTNTATATATATATATATATATATATATATATATCTTTCTCTATCTGTCCCCTCTTCTTCTCGCCCCTGTTTCATCACCACCGCTGCAACCTGTAGAAATGACAGACCCCTCCACACGACCCTCTCTCTTTCTCTCTCTCACTCTCTCACACACTCTCTCTCTCTCTCTCTCTCCGTCCGTCCCCTCTCCCTCTCGCCCTTGTTTCATCACCGTCGTTGTTGTAACCTGTAGCAGCAGTAAACCCCTCCACATGGCCTCTCTCTCTCTCTCTCTCTCTCTCTCTCCATCCCCTCCGTTTTCTCTCACCAATTCAGAGGAGAAATATCGTGGAGCAGGAAGCTCCACACGTTTCCGATCTACAACTCCGACACATTGTGTGACTTCTGTTCTCAGTTCCGCCAAGGTAGCAGAGAAAGAATTGAACTTTAAGATCTGCAACTCCGACAGATTGCATGACTTCTGTTCTTAGCCCCACCAAGGTAGAAGAGAAAGAACTTAAAAGATCTGCAACTCTCGTGGATTGTGGCTCTTGGAGGAGTTCTATTGCTTGAGTGGTCAAAAGTTCGAGAAGAGCAGTGAAAAAATTCCCTAGAATCGTTGCTTCCTCGATAACGTCCGAGAAGAGCAATAAAAGAATTCCCTCGAGCTTCTGGGTTTTCATCGGCAGATTGGCAGGAGGTGCCAGTGGGTCTTGAAGAAGACAATGAAGGAGGAGAAGAAGAAGAAGAAGAAGGGACAAGGAGAGGGATGAAGGGTAAAATTAGGTTTTTCAAAAAAGTAATATATCACATGTGATGGAATATTAACGGATCGTAACGGTAAGGGTAAAGTTAGTCAATTGTTAGAAACAATAGGGGAAGCATTAAACAATAGTCAAACGGTAGGGGTATGCTTAGTCAATTAGCTAAACCACAAGGGTAGTTTAAGAAATTTACCCTATATTATACTATACATAATAAGTTCAATATGTTATATTTATATTAATTTATTATATTTAAAACTTGAAAAATAATTAGCTTTTTAATTTGGTCTGTATTTTGATGAGAATAAAAATTATCATATTTTTATCCCTAAATATTCAGTCTTTTATACTTAATTAGTACTTAATTGGACTCACTATCATATTTAAAAAAGTTAAAACGGAATCGGATAAAAAGCAAGTTTTGACCTAAATCCCATGTTTTCAAATCCAATTATATTTTAGATCAGATTCGGATACAAGTTTCCATATGATATAATTAATCCATTTGCAGCCTTATGTGAAATATAAGGGCCTCTAAATAATAAAAATTGCATTATTCATCCTAACTTTATTTAATAATGTTAATACAATAACCACTTTAAAAGGAAATATTTAATAATGTTAATATGAATTTAATGATTTAGTTAATTCTGTTTTAGAAATGCTAGTTTTGTGTGTTTAAGATTTTATATACTTAAGCCTATAATACATGTGAAATCAGTTGAACAATTGAGACAGAGGTTCAGTTTGGAAAGAATACAAACATATAGAAAATAATACAAAATACAATTAAGGTTCTGCACACTCTAAATAAAATATTACAAGATATAGCAGGAAATAACCAACCGGTTGGTTATTAGGTTGATTGAAACAAATAACCAACCGGTGTAGTTACATAGTATCGCTCCCTCACTTCCTTATCAAAAACCAACAACAGTAGTGGATAGTCATCTCCGAGAAGTGAGAACTCAGAAGCTGGCCATATTGAATCTTTCCGTGTTTTCCGAGTTTTAATCTCGTACGGAAAGATGCACGTCTGCCAAATGGTCTTTGGGTTGTCCAGATCTTATGTCAAAAGCTCAATGCGTCTATTGACTATCAGA